CAAATGTAATCAATAATTAGATATTATGAGATAGCATTTCAATTATAAATAATAAATATATTATGGTAAATTGATGAACATTGTATAATCAAGTGATGTATAGTATGACAAATTTAATAATATAATAGCTTAATTAAATTTAGTATGGTAAATTTATGAACATAACATATTATATAATCAAGTGATATATAGTATGATAAATTTAATAATATAATAACTTAATTAAATATAGTATGACAAATTTATGAACATAACATATTGTATAGTCAAGTGATATATAGCATGACAAATTTAATAACATAATAGCTTAATTAAACCTAAATTAATTACACATTTGTATTGATCATTTATTACAATAGACCCTAATACCACTATGAATTTATGGGTTTTGATACAAAATATATATGTAGATAGTAATGATAATCTATAATTTTGATAATTTAATAACATATTAAACATATTTAATTTATTATCAATATAAGTATGATAATAATTTTTTGTGTGTGTATATATATATATATATATATAACCAACAAACTAACCTGGTTAGCCCAAATTGTAAAACAAAAATCAAAACTCAACTCCACATTTTCCCTTACCCGGCCATCCATATATATATATATATAGAAACCAACAAACTAGAGGTGGGCATTTGGGACTGGGCCCAAAAGTCCAGCTCGAAAACCCGGTCCTAGGATCGGTCCTCGAGAGAATCGGACCTAGGAGGCCTGGTCCCATAAGAGGAGGGCCCGGGCCCAAAAAAAATTGTATTTTTTCAATATGGTCCCCTGCCAAATTACATAAAACCCCATGTTAATTTGAAAATAAATATAAATTAAGAGGGCTAAAATAAAATTTTACAAAATTAAAAAAAAAAAAAATCTTCCAAGTCTAAAATTTTTATAAAATATATAAATTTTACCCCTAAAAAATACTAAAAACCCCCCATAAAATTTTATTTTGCCCCCAAAATAAAAAAAAATTGAGAGGGGAAAAATTAATTATCCAAGCCCCATGGGACTGGTCCTAGGATCGGTCTTGGGCCTATAGGACCAGTCTCTACCAGGCCTAAGGCCTGGTCCGGGTCCTAATTTTTCTCATGGGCCTGGGACAGTGACTGGTCCCATTTGGGACCAGTCCCAAACGGGCCCAGGCCTGGGCCTGCTTGGGACCGGTCCCTACCCACCTCTACAACGAACTAACCTGGCCAGCCCAAATTGTAAAACAAAAATCTAAACCCAATTTCACATTTTCCCTTACCCGGCCAAAATATATATATATATAACCAACAAACTAACTTGGCCCAACCCAAATTGTAAAACAAAAATCCGAACCCAATTTCACATTTTCCCTTACCCGGCCCAAAATCCAAATCTAATTTAGTCACAGCCATAATTTGGCTAATTGAACGAACTCGAACAACCCTAAGTTATTTGAACAGATATTTACAAGTTATTCGAACGATCTCGAACTACTCGTTTGGTTAATCGAACGAACTCGAACAACAATTTTGTGTTTGTTCGAGTTCAAACACGATTTCGAATATCCCTTTGCACTTATCGAATGAGTTTCGAATGGGGGTGTTCGTTCGTGTTTGGTTCGTTTGCAGGCCTACTTGGAAACTTGTAGTTGCTTGAAAATCTTAACTTGAATCTCAATCTTCTTTTGTGTTCGATTCTGAAATAACAAACTTGGTCCATCTTAGCCTCTCCGACAATGTACTCACCAAAGAAGTCCTATATTCATTCATCAATTGGAATTCAATAGTGATTATAATTACAATAATTATTGGTGATGCTGTGAGTGTCACCATAGTGAATGATTCATTCAATAAACATTATTGATTGTAATAAATTAAATGTGAGATTAATTACTGTAAGAGATAATTACTATAAACTCTTTGAAATATTGGTGATAAAAACCTACCACTTAGAACATTTTCAATTGTGCTTTTTATTTTGAAGAACATTTTTCATATAAATAAAGAACATCTTCATTAATTTTTAAATATAAAGAACACGATTTTTATTTAAATCCAATAAACTCCTTAAATTTAATGAATATACTCTTTATTTTTAAGAAAGAGATTTAATGAGAGAGAGAATGAATAAATAAAATGTATAACAACTTGTAGTTTATTAATTAAAATTAGGATAGAGAGTGAAATTTAACTCTCTAAATATGGAGAGTCAAACTTACTCTTTATTTTATTTTTTAAAAGTAAAGAGCATGTTGGACTCTTGTTTTTATGGATAGACTCTTTATAATAAAGAGTTTGAGTCACATAAAGAATCATTTGGAGATGCTATTACGATTGAAAAAAAAAAAAAAAAGCCCCCTTAATTTATCATTATTAATCAAATGACCTTACAACCCCGTCCACCACCCTCATCTAACCCCATTGAAAACTTACACACCTATGACTGAACTTGGATTACTGTAGCTTTTCTCTTAATCACTTTTGGTCAAATTTCTAAGAATAGAGGAAGGTACATGGAAGAAACAAAAAAGATTGGTCAATTGCCGCCATTGGCCTCGATGATGACTCCATTAGATAGATTGACTGATGATCTATCTAATGGAGTTGACGGTATCGTCGGACTTGTCCTCGTCAATAGCGTCTAGCCACCACCGATCAACAATCGTCTCAATTTTGAGAAATAAATACTATATTTAATAAATTATTAATTTGAATTGAATTATTATTATATAAAAAAATATTTTGAAAATTTATGCTAATAAATAGGGTATTTGTGTAATTAATATTTCATAAGCAGCTTTTGATTTTAAAAAAGCAACTCAAACCTAATTTTAGAGTCCTTTAATACTTGATTATTTCATAATCAAATTGTTGAATAATCATTTTTCAAATTAGTTTACCGAACACATTTTAGATTATAGATTATGAAATAAGTGATTACGGAGAAATTACAACAACATCAACTAAGCCTAAAAGTGAAATAAAAACTGCCCCTACACCCCCACTAAACACAGCCACTTCCGACCCAATAACACATTTTAATGCTATGCTTTCAAAGGTGAAACAAAAAACACTTACAACCACAAAAAATCAATGGGTGGGACAATTCTTCGCAAGGGTTGAGGTGAGTGGTTTGTCTGTGAAGCTTGCTAAATTTGATACATAATTTGCTATTGGGATGGGGCTGTCTATTAAGGGGATTGGGATTTTTATTTTTCTAACTTTTATAATTTCATTAATTATTATTAGTTATAAAATTTAAAAGTCTGTTACTGTTTTTACTCATTGTTAAAACTAGCGATAAAACACTAACGTAGATATACTCGGCATAGGTGGGAGAGCGCCGCCACGAGGGCCACAGGCCCCCATTGTAAAAAATTTAGTTAATTTAAGGTTTAATCAAATAACAAAAATCCTTTTAAAATTATAGAAAAAAAAAAAATTATGTGCCATTTGTGTACCATTATAATTCATAATATGATAGGTTAATAAATATTTACATAATTTCCCCTAGTCTTTTATTTTGACACCCAAAAATTAACAGTAAGAGAATTTTTGTTATTTTCATAACCATAAAGTATTTATGTCATTTAAGTATATCTAAGGGGGATTTTGGTTCTTAATCATTTATTTAAACAGCCCAAGGGCAAAAATATGAATGCATTAAAAATATTCTGCAAATATATTTTAAACTAAAGAATTAAAACCCTTATGACTTTTGGTAGTCAACCTAAACTTTCGTTTGAAACCCAGCAACCCCCTACTTATTCATGTAAGCTGACGCCTTGCTTTAATATATCTTATTTTCATAACCCTTATGACTTTGAGTTGCTCTTAGATCTTCCTCTATTTTTTAATATTGCATAGAAGATNTTTAATTTTAGAGCTTATAAGCTAGTTTGACTAGTTTATAAGCTTAGACAAATACCTCCATAATATTATAGATATAGAGAAAATTTCAGATAGAAAATATTTTGATAGTAGAATTATCAATTTTTATCTTACAATTAAGTAAAATCGATATTCAATCATGGGTTGATATGGATATTAGTACCGATAATAATAAAATACTAAGATTGGAGTGGATATAATGATTAATTGATGAAATTAGTAAATCAATTTTTTTATCTTACAATTGATTAAAATGAAAAAATTAAACCCATTTCAAATGGATGACAAAATACTATGGCCTGTTAGTTTTTTTTTTTTTTAATGAAATTCGTAAAAGAACACACTCTCAGTAATCCGATAGAACCATAAAAATTATAATTTTCTAAGCATATTAAAATTAAAGAAACAAACTAATTCATAAGTTAATAAAGAATAAATATGTTTTATTTATTTATAATCCAAAATTTCATTTAGTTGTTTTATAAAATTTTATTTAATATATTTTTGTGTTTAATTACTTACGGTAGTAACTGTAATTGTATAAAACATTGTGTGCCTAAGTTAATAACAGCGATAACAAGTAGTTTTTTTTTTTTTTTTTTATAAATCCTAGGGACAGTGTTGGCCCACCCTGCGCATACATTGACTTCACCACATGATGGAGGGGACAAATTTCGCCAGGTATTGCGCTTATTTTATTTTATAATCAAATTAATTGTTATTTAATAAAGATACAAAGCTATCTCCCAAGAGGTCCAATAATTTACTCCAAGCTTCTGGGTGTATTACTTTTTCACTTCAAATTCATCCTTGAGTGTTGATGAAGATAATTATTCAAACTTTTACCCAATCAATAATTTTAAGTCTTAATATTAGTTGAGATGAAATAAATAAAATAAAGATACAAAATTAGGAGTTACCTAACATTATGGAAATTAAAGTTCTCTTTCGTTTTCATTCTGTTAATAATGTGTATGAACACTATCTTTCCTTTCATACCATGGTTTAATCACTTTTGACTGTAACTTTATTTGCTAGAAAATGTTCTCACCCAAGTGTTTAAATCCCTTTGTTATTGCATCAAGTCCTTCCAAACTCAACTGTCTTTTACAAAATTTCCCATCAAAACATGGTCTTTTGCATTCTTTTCTCGCTCTTCTCTCTCTTCACCATTGCCATCTCTTCTTCCGTCTTTGTTTCTGCCTTTTCTTTGGTCAATGATTTTCATGTCCTGGTTTCTCTTAAACAAGGATTTCTATCCCCTGAACCAGCTTTAACCTCCTGGAATTCATCAAATCCAACCTCAGTTTGTTCTTGGGCTGGAGTTTTTTGCTCCCAGGACAGAGTTGTTTCATTGGACTTGACAGATTTGAACCTTGGTGGTTCAGTTTCAGCTCAAGTTTCAAGGCTTGATATGCTCACCTATCTCTCTCTTGCAAGAAACAGCTTCAGGGGCGGCATTGAGATTGCTAACTTGAGTAGTCTTCAATCTCTTAACATCTCACACAATCAGTTTACTGGTGGCCTGGATTGGAACTACTCAAGTCTTTCAAACTTGCGAACTTTTGATGCTTATGATAACAACTTCACTGCTTTACTTCCTCTTGGTGTTCTCACTTTGGAGAAACTCAAGTACTTGCATCTTGGTGGCAACTATTTCTATGGAAAAATCCCAGAAAGTTATGGAAAATTAGTGGGGTTGGAGTATCTTTCACTTGAAACGAATGATCTTCGGGGGAAAATTCCTGGTGAGTTGGGGAATCTGACAAACTTGAGAAAGATTCGTTTGGGTTATTGCAATTTTTTTGAAGGTGGGATACCAAAGGAGTTTGGCAAATTGGTGAATTTGGTTCACATGAATCTCCCAAGCTGTGGTTTAGATGGTCCAATTCCTCATGAGCTTGGGAACTTGAAGCTGCTTGAAAGTCTTTACTTGGGTGACAATTTTCTTTCGGGTTCAATTCCTCATGAGCTTGGGAACTTGAAGCTGCTTGAAAGTCTTGACTTGGGTGACAATTTTCTTTGGGGTTCAATTCCTCGTGAGCTTGGGAACTTGAAGCTGCTTGAAAGCCTTCACTTGGGTTACAATTTTTTTTCGGGTTCAATTCCAAAACAGCTTGGGAACTTGACAAAATTGGTGAACCTCACTCTCTCCAACAACGTATTTACGGGAGAGATCCCTTATTCGTTCATCAATTAGTGACATTAAGGATGACAATGGTCAATAATAGAATAAACATAGGTATGTGTGTTATAATAAATTAAAGGTGAGATTATTATTAATTGTTACAAAAATAACTTCTCTAAACTCTTACAGATTTTCTGTTGATGTTAGTAATAGCTTATAATTACCAACCGCTTGTCGAACTTAAAAGCTACCTTCTACAATTGCAAAGGAAAAGAAGTTAATATCTCATGTTATTTTTTAATGAAATGACCTCAAAACACACTATCTCACACAGGAAAAGGAAAAAAAAAAAATACCTTCTTCCCAGCGTGATATAAATTTAAATACAGTTTTATGTTTTTGAAATCATTTGAGAATCATAACTTAATTTCTCTTTTTATTCTTTAGTGAAAGGGATTGGACGATTCCTTGTGAGGATCGCTGTGTGTGGCTTGTCCACGAAACTCACCACAATTATTTTTTAAATTATTATTATTATTATTATTTTTTGGTAATTTCATTAATAAATGGTTGAATAATATATTGGTTAATTTAACTCATGATTGAGTTATCAATGAGTTTTAATTGTTTGATTTTCGGTGTTCGTTGCTGCATATATTCTATTTCATCAGTGAGTGAATGAATATATTCGCTCTCATATTAATTTGAGTAAAATCAAAATATATAAAAAATTGAGATTTCAATCCTTTGTATATAATTTGGTCAGCTTAATATTATCCTTTATCCACCCACTTAGGAAATAGCGTCTAAAAAAGTCGACATGAGCAAATGAGTCAAGGACATTTAAGTAAATTTACAAACTGAAATACAAACGTCAAATGGATCATAGGTTTTTTACGTAATTAATCAAATCAGTTAACGGTAATTATATATGTAAAATACATTTTTTAATTTTTATTTTTTTTAATCCAATCTCTCCCCTCCTTTTTTGTCTCTCTCTCCTTCTTCATGTTCTTTCTCTAATTCAGAAACAATCTCCTTCTACCACCTTTCTTTTTCTCTCCCTTTCTTCCCTCTCTTCCTCATCTTCATAATCGTCTCCTCTCTTCTCAAATTAAAACTTTGCATTCCTTTCTCTTTCCTTCCTCCTGTTTATTTTAATCTTTATCTGAAAATTGATAAATCAAACTTGTGTGGTTGCTTCGAAGCTGGTTGGTTTCTAAAAGGTAGAAACTTGAAATACAAAAGCATTTGAACCGCTTGAACAAAAAACCATGTAAAAGCATTCGGGTTTGTTTCTTTTTAGTATTTTAGTCTTTACTTTACCTTTTCTCTCCTGAAGTTTACTTTTTTTTTTGGTCATTTGTGTGTGTGAGGCTGGTGGGAAAGTGAGAGAAAGTGTGACTTGATAAAATATTTTTGTCTCCTGTTAAACCATCAATTCATTCCTAGTTTTTAAATGTTTTTTGATCAAGACCCTCTCCGAAGCGATGTTAAAACAGTAAAGGAATTGTTAAATATTGAAGCCTGCGACGTCGTTTAAGCCAAGTAAAAACGCTATCGTTTTTGCCTATTAGTCCAAGTTAATCATAACCATAATCCAACGGCTCCAGTTCAATCAGAAGTCAACAATATAAAAGGAAACTTTTTCACGCATTTGGGAGGAAGATCGTGTATTAGGTTTTCTATCTTTTCTTCTCTGTAAATGCGTTTGTAACCTGGGTTAGGGTTTGATATTCATTTTGGTTCTTCTCTTTGTGAATCTTTCTAGAGTCTTATTTTGAGGGCAGGGTGTTCCTTAAAGAGTATAGAGTACTCTAATGTTTGTTGAGATTTGCAGGATAAAGAGAAGTGAATGAGTGTGTGAATGTGTTGTTGACAGTGAAGGAGATTTGTCTGTAATTTGTAATATTTGAAGTGATTAATCCTAGTGTAGCGGGCTCCATATTCTAGAGCTCAACGTGGATGTAACTTGTTCTATATTGAACAAGCGAACCAAGTAGATTGTGTGTTGTGTGATTTCTTGTTCTTGCGTTTGATTTGATCTGAGATTGATTTGGTGGTTTGAGTAATCAGGATTGATTTACAACAGTGGTATCAGAGCCAAAAGTTCTAAGGTGTATCTAGGTTTAGAAATCGTTTAACTCTTGACGAATTCGAAAATTAGGGTTTGTTTGTTTTGGGGGTTTTTCGATTTAAATGTTCCTAGATCATTAGGACTTCAAATCTTGCTGAGTCTTGGGATTAATTCGTGAGATTAGGTCACAAACACAAGGGATCGACGAATCAGGCAAAATCAAAATTAGGGTTTTGTTAGGATTTGGGGGTTTTCTTTCGAATTAGGGTTTCGAATCGCCCTGAATCTGTTTAAGGGTATCTCGGCTGGAAAACCAATAACCGCTTTAAAAACTGCCTGGCAGCACTTGGCAACCTCTGGTATAATAACGCCACATACTCCTTAGATTGTCTTGCCTTGTCATTACAGTATAATGAGCACTACTCGTATGGAGATCTCCCAATACGATGGGAAGATAGATTTTAATACTCCTTTAGTAATAAACTTTCCAACCAAATCAATTCAGTTGTAGTCTCATCCGATATTTCTCTATATTAAGATTCAATTGATGATTTAGCTGCCACCTTTTGGATTTTAACATCGGTTTATCAAATTGCCTTCTACAAATTAGCAAACACCTTATAGGAGATATTTTATCATCAAGTTGGCTAGCTTTCTAAATTCAAACAAATAGTACAATAGTCACTAGTGCATAAATTTTCATAATTTGGGTAATAAAATGCATTTATTTTACAAATCACACCCACAAATATTTAATTCATAATAAGACATTGGTGCATATCTTGGTGAATTGATGGAGATAATAACGCCCAACAAAAGACGTCATAATGTTGCAAATCACATAAAAATGGTAAGGGGCCTAAGGGCTAGGCGGGTTTTAATGTAAACGATGGTGTAAACTTGACGCGATTATAACACGATTAGCACCAGTTCATTCTTATTTACCATTTCACCTCCCTCTCCTTCTAAATATTTCCCATTACTAAGGGTGTGCAAAAGAATTGATTAGAATCGGAATTGGTGGGTATCCAAGGTCCTGTTTTGGTTCCAAAAATCTGGAATCGGCATTGTGTGGCTCCGATTTCCTAATTGAACCGGAATCAAGAACTATGACTGATCTAAAATAACATTAAAGACTGGAGGGGTTTTTGTAATTTTGCATGTCATATAAAAAATTCAATCAGGATTTTTTTTTTTTTGGGGGGGGTGGGGGGGTGGGGTGTTGGGGGTTGGTGTGCGTGGGTGTGGTGTGGGAATTTAGTCACCATCTATAAATAATTGTTTTATTTTCAGTTTTCTCAACGGAAAATCCATTCATTCTGTTCGATATATAACAGATTTTGTTCAACAATCTTGCACGCACAAGAGAAATAGTTAAGATTTACAAGTAAAAGAGATCCTATTGTAAGCCATTGATGTCTTCAAGTCGAAGAAGCTAGCCATTGAGAATTTGAGAAGCTTTATATCAACAATTTGAGCAAACAGAGAGGTAAAATCTTTTACTTGCTTATTTTTAATATTTTATCCTTATAGATATAGTTGTTTCTTTTTTTTTTTTTTTTTTTTTGGTATTTCGTTGATTAATTCTCTACGTTTGTTTTTTTGGTAAAATCAGTTACGACACATGGTATTTTGTCGTGTGATTATGGGGAAGTATGGAGCATTTATGCCCTGGAACTAAACCGTTTCATCCCAGTACAGAGGATTTTAAATATTGGAGTGGATGATCTTCATAACCCAAGACATTTCATAGTCTGGAATATGAATGTGAATACCCATGTTTATCCAGAATTTGTTGCAACATCAAGATGGATGCCAATGCCATATGTGGACTTGGTTAAACTAAGTTGGTCTTCATATGCTGATTGTCCTCGACAGCTTCATCTAGTTTTGCATCAGTTTTCCGGTTGCAACTGTCCTCAACTTCCACAACGTCTTATATACTATAATGGAAAATTACCACCTTCACTACATCTTTTCTTTGTAGCTTTTCCTTCACTCACTAGCTTTTCCATCTCAAGCAAACCTATATGAAAAAATAAAAATTATTCACGGTAAAATAGGAAATAATTACCCTATTAAGAAAATGAAACTTAGCCTGGTAACGAAACCAAAACTTAGAACTTCTATGGTTTCTTGATGAGTTCTGCAGTGGGATCTTGTCTGAACAGTATCACTTGATTCAATATCCACTGTGTTGTGGTTAGTGGTCTGAACAGTAGAACCAGCATCGGGAAGGATGAAGTTGTCCTTGCTAGTGTAACCATTCTGAAATAGATTACCATACGCCTACAACATGTGATGAAAGTAATCCATCAAGGGTTGGAGAAGTAATCAAAAGAAATTTGGAGAGCTGAAATTAGTTTAATTCATTTAAATCCAGTATTAATTCAAGCAGTCCAAGGGCCCGCAAATCCCCTTGGATGCCTTTTCCTATGTTATTTGCTGCCATCTCGAATCGGCAACCCCTTAAGTCAACTCATGCCAAGATACCATCCAAACATAAAGTTGAAGTGGCGAAGCATTATGTTATGCCCAAGAACCAGGGCTAACGTAAGCATACGTCAGGAAGAATCAGTCAGAATTCAGGAAAGTTTTCTGATGCCAGGATATAGCCACGTCCCGCAAGGACCAGAGGGGTAAGGCCATCGTCAGTAAGGCAGGTGAACGCCAAGCCTATGAGTTGCTAGGAATTGTCCACCTGCTGAAGTTGTGAGCGATTTAAGGATACCTCTCGTACATGCAACCAATGGGAAGCAAGTTAGGAATTGTACCACACTTGTCCGCATGCAGAATCATGATTGTCATCTTGGATCCTCCTACTATAAATAGAGGGCTCTCCTCCATTTTACAGGATTGACTCATTCACCATCTAAACTCTCTCTCTCCCTTCTACCCATTAATTCTCTCTATTGTAATTCAGCTCGTCGAGTGCGACTTGACTGTAACCCGCTATTAATATAATCACAATGGATGTAGGGTTCGTCTTAGGGCA